TTCAAGTCTGCAACATCGCCACCTAAAATCCTTATTTCCTCAGAGTATATCTACCAGAGGTATATGTATACGTGTAGCTATATGCTGCACCATTCCCATTTTACTACAGTGATGTCTATAAAAATAAACAAGTGTCCCAACATGGTTTCCAGTCTCTCTCACTACCTCAGATAGCTTCAAGTTACTGCTTTCCTAGCTGGCTGGAAATCTTTCACACTACTAGTGTGACTGCCAAGTACCACGGACAGATCACAGTGTGAGTGGAGATACTGACCCACAGTTCTGATCAAGAGCAGATACACAAAATTTGGAATGCAGACATGCAAGACTTACATCACTAAACTATCATAGAAAACTGACATTTGTTTGGCTTTGTTTTTATATAGACTATGTAGCCCAGCCTGGACTGGAATTCTCTACCTTCCTACATGTCCCACCAAATCCAAGACTTTTTTGTAGGTCCTGGGGCTTGAGCTCTTTTGTTCAAGATTAGTGCTCTTCCACTTCAAGCCACAGTGCCACTTCCAGTTTTCTGATTAGTGGGAGATGTCTCACAGAATTTCCTGCCTGCACTGGTTTTTAACTGTGAGCCTCAGATCTCAGCCTCCTGAGTAGCTAGGATTACAGATGTTGAGCCACGAGTGCCAGACTCTAAGACTACTTACTTTTAGTGCTAGGCGAAATACTAATGATATTAGAACTGCTGCCGTTTCCTTGCAAAACCAAAAACCTAGTTTGGCCCCGAATTTCTTTAAATGACACTTGCCTTTGTCCTCATGTAGCACTCAATCCTTTCCTAGTAACTAAAAGGGAGATGGTGAGAGCAGGGTGTCAGTGGCTCACACCTGCAACCCAAGGTATTCAGGAGGCTGAGATGTGAGGATCCCAGTTCAAAGCCAGCCCAGGCAGGGAAGTCCACAATTCTTACCTCCAATAAATCACCAAAAAGCTGACGTCAAGTTGCAGCTTAAGTAGTGGAGTGCTAGCCTTGAGCAAAAAAGCTCAGGAACAGTGCCCAGGCCCTGAGTTCAAGCCCCAAGAAGGGGCTAAAAGGACCTGGACTGTGGCTTCAAGTCCTGAGTTCAAGCAGGTTCCCCCCCACCCCTCTGGGGAGGTGGGGGGATTTGGAGAGAACAAGACATAAATAAATATAGACACAGCTCAATCCCCAGCCAAGAAAGATAAAAAGGAAGAAGGAATAAATTTGTCTCCCTTAATTATTAGCATCAATAAATAAAGACACAATGTTTTTTAAAACTTTATTTCAACATAACTATGCTTACAGAAATACACTCATATCGGTTAATAGAATGCAATTTAAGTTTAACTTATCCTACACAATTTCAACCAAAAAATTGGTACATGGTTTACAATTTTTAAAAAATTTGCAAGTCTTTTTTAATTACTACAAATGTATAAAAAAGATCCTCCGTCAAATGCTGCTAAAGAAAGCAGCATGAACCTTGAGAAATATACCTTTGGTTTGCCTCAGAAAAATAAGTATTGCACTGTAAAGTTTATAAAATTGGTGCAACAAAACATTGTTGTAATGTTACAATGCCAGTTTACCAAGTTCAGTAACTACTGGATGTGGGAGGGAATCTATGTACATATAGGAACTGTAAGAGCTATTTGATTTAGTTAATATTGCAGGTACATTGTAAATTTACACAAACCAAGATTCAGATAATTTCTTAAATCTGAACTAGCACTAACAGCTAGTTCACTTGATCTGCTGAGGTGAACAAGGACACTACACACAGTAAGTTTTTCTGACTTAGGCAATGAAGAAAATTATGTTTCTTCCTCTGCTATCAGTCCAGAAGTAGTAGCATACTAAAGGCAAGGTATTCCTTCCATTGTCACCTTTCAATGGGGTGATGTAAGTTGAGGTCAACTTGGCTTTTAATTTTATCAGCACTCATAAGTAAAACAGCCCCCAAAATTAATGACCACATAACTTTAGAAATGACTCTTAAAAAGTAAAACAGTCCATTGTGGAAGACATCCAGCCATAGTTCTAGGAAGCCTTTTCGGACAACTGTAGCCCATTAAGAATTACACCTCAATTTTTTAAAAAAGAAAAAGTAGCCCCAAAATAAGAAGCAGCTCTGAAAAAAATACATAACTTAAAATATCTTGAAAGACAATGTGAATATAATTCAAAAATAATTAAGATACATTTTCATAAGACTACCTAGGATTAAGTTTATAAACTAATCTAGCATTTCAAGTTTATCACTATTACTATATATCAATATACAAAATAACATGCTCTTACTTTCTTATCAAAAGGGAAAAATTCTAGCTTCAATTCTAGGAATAAGGGGAGACTAACAAGATTCAAACAGTTTCATGCAAGTATCACATTTTTCACATGATAGAACTCTCAAGTGGACTAGAAGTTCTGATTACTAATACGTTTTTCATTGAAACAACTTTTCATAAGTAAAAATACTAAGGTCAGGGCCTAATATAGGCCTGACAATCAAGTCCTCATTTTCTGAAAGAAAGGCCTCAAGTCCCAATTCAATTCCAGTAATTGTGTTTTTACAGTTCAATTTTAAAAAAGGGTTTTTAATTTTTACTGTTCTAGTCTTAAATGTTAGATTAATAGTCACTTCAATTTCCCAGAAGGCATTTTTTCCTTTGCAGTATGAAAGAATCCACAAAAGACCCCTTCTTCCCCAGATTCCCAATCTCTAACCTGTGCTTAACAATGACTCTTTCTCAAAAATGTAAAGGGTAACTTAAGTAACCTGCTCGTGAACATAAAACTAGTTATCAGAAAGATTTGCCTAGCTGTATAATAAAGTCTTAAAACATAAATATTTGCCACTGAATCTCCTATTGAAAATGATTGTCGGAGCCTGTAAGTCAACATATAAAAATTCTCACTCATGCACACAAAACACACACCAGTCTCACACAACTTGCTCATGTCTTGAAAGAATATTCTGCTTCTTTAAATCTTTGGCCTCCCAGTCAATTCCAAATTCAACCAACTTTTTTGTGTATATGCGCCAGTCCTGGGGCTTGAACTCAGAGCCTTGGCGCTGTCCCTGAACTTTTGTGCTCAAGGCTAGTGCCCTATCACTTGAGCCACAGCTCCACCAAAAATGGTGGTTAATTTTCCTGCCTGGGCTGGCTTCCAACTGTATCCTCAGATCTCTCCCTTCTGAGTAACTAGTATTACAGGCTTGAGCCACTGGTGCCTGGCTTCAAACAACTTTTAACTCACACTTTAACTTCAGATTTACCTTTCCACCTATATACACTATGCTTGTAACTAATCTTTGATGATGTATTACCAAAATCTTTTATCTGCCTCAAAGAGATCATTAGGTAAAAAGCAAATGAACTAGGGATGTGGCTCAACGTTAGAGTGCTTGCTTAGCATGCATAAGGCCTTGGGTTTGATCCCTAGCACTGAAGGGGGGGTAAACTGTAGAGCTGCATATGGTGGTACGTAACTGTAATCCCAAGAAGGATCTCAAGTTCAATGCCAGCCTGGGTTACATAGCCACACCCTGTATCAAAAATAAAATAAGGGCTGAGAAGGTGGCTCAGTGGTAGAGAGCTTGCCAGGCATGCATGAGGCCCTGGGTTCGACTCCTCAGCACCACATAAGCAGAAAAAGCAAGAAGTGGCACTGTGGCTCAAGTGGTAGAGCGCCCGCCTTGAGCTGAAGAGCTGAGGGACAGCACCCAGGCCCAGAGTCCAGGCCCTACAACCAAAAATAATAATAATAATTTTTTAAATGAAAAGGAGGAAAGAGGGAGAGGAGATGGGAGGAGAGAATATGAAAGAATATGAAACCCAGATTATTTCAAAATAGAACATGGGAGGTCAGAATTCAAGATGCCCTATTGAGAATGTTCTTTATTTCACTGCAATGAACAACTGCTAACAATAAGAAAAATCCTATGTTGGATTCTTTCATACTCTTTGGCAAAAGGCCAAAGAACTTTTAGTTTTGGAACACATGCCTTTTTTCACAGTCCACCCATAGGAACCACCAGGATAGCTATAATTCACTGAGGCCACAACTGAAGAAAGAAGCTGTCACATGACAGCCAGGACACCCACTAGTTTGTGGAGATCCCTGAGAATGAATGGTTTTTAAGTCTGTACTGTAGGCTTTTTAACCTATCCTTACCAGTTGCAGCTGTCTCTCAGAACCCAAGCCAGCTCATTCTAGATTTGCCTTTTAACAGCTATGGCTTTGAAATCTCACAAGTCATACTGTGTAGAATTTGAGGAAATAATTATGTATCTTAAACTCAGCTTTGCTTTTCCAAATATCACTTACAGTTCTTTATTCAATTAAGTAGCCAAATAGACACTAATATCTATGAGAAAAGGTTTCCCTCAAAGATATGACTTAACACTCTACAATTAAGAAGTAACTGTGGGGCTGGAAAGGTGGCTCAGTGGTAGAGCACTTGCCTTGCATGCCTGAGGCCCTGGGTTCAATTCCTCAGCACCACATAAGCAAAATGAAAAAAGCCGGAAGTGGCGCTGTGGCTCAAGTGGTAGAGCGCTAGCCTTGAGCTGAAGAGCTGAGGGACAGCGCCCAGGCCCAGAGTTCAGGCCCCACAACCGGACCCCCCCCCCCCGCCAAAAAAAAAAAGTAACTGTGTCAGAAAAGGCTCAAATTCTAATGGTTGATATTGGAGATAAAAATTCAATGTGGAACCTAGCGGTTTGTTGCAAAATCAAATAAGCTGTGAATTTACTATATCCATTCAAAATAAATAACATGGTGAAACATATTCTGGCATAGATATAAAAGGTGAAGATCAAAATCAATCGAACCTGCATATTCAGGTTTCATCTGCTCACAAACTTTCACACACTATTATTCTGCAAAAAAAAAAAAAAAGCCTCAAAGAAAATAACTGCCCTTTTGCAAACAAGCCTAAAAACATCCCTTCCCAAAGAGGAAAAAAATAAACATGCATATATTTATATATATATACACACATATATATGTATAAAGTGTTACTGTTCAACACAAATGCTATTCTAGAAAAAAATTTAACTGCATAGGTTAAAAAAAAACAATGTGCAACATCTTAAGCCATTAAAGCACCCCCCCAACAAATCCCACCCAAATCACTGTTTTATAAAGATGATTAACATATGAACATGAAATAAGATCAAAATTCAGGAAGTAAATACCTGGACTGATAACAACATCCACTATTGGGAGCATTTTTCTTCAATGTAAATACCTTTTTCATTTCTAAAGAAATCTTAAAGTGCTAATTTTACATAAAGCAGGCAAATTCTTCAAGTAATTTGCTATTAAGCCAATTCTTACCAAGCACAACAAGAAACTAAAAGTAAAGTAAAAGAGAAGACAAAAAATGACAAGTAACCGGACAAAGCAATAGAATGCTATGTAACATGCTGGCTTTCTCACTTCAACTGGCTAAGTATGGCTAAGATTTAGGTATCTGCTTGGTTTCATTATATTAACTCCATTAGACTTGCTAAAAATCAACAGATACACATAAAGTCCTAAGGAAAAGAATGTCACTTAAAAATCGATACTGGTCACTAATTAAAGCAATCTTAGTAAGTTTGCTTACTCCCATAAATGAAGTTTAAAAACTGCAAGATCTTACTAAGAAATGCAACCTAGTCCAAAGTTTAATTACTCTTGCCCTTTTGCTGCTTTTTCAAGGAAGTACACATTAACCAAATGGCGATTGAGGTGTTTGCTGTAATCTTTCTCCTTTCTAAAAGAACGATCACAGAAGATACAAACAAAATCTCCCTCAGCTACTTTGCCTGCCAAAGCCTCCTTTGGACTTTTTGTACTAGTTTCTTGTGGAACAGGCCGAGCTCCGTGTAATCCAGAGTCATCACTCCCTTCTGACATGTTGTCGCTTAGGTCACTTCCATCGTGACTGTGGATGCCTTCATCTTCATCAATTTCCTGAGTATCATTTACTGCCACAGTAACAGGAGGTGAAGCCAAAGCTGTATCAGACACTGCCTGGCATTCTTCCGTTGGAAGACACAATGATTCTTCACCAGCTGGGTCTTTACCAGGGGCATTCTCTGTTGTGTTCTGTTCAGTGTTCATTTCCTTCTCACACGTCACAGCTGAGTCAGTCTTATATTTGTTACTTGAAGTTTCACCACTTGTCATACTCAAGTTTTGTTCACTGGATGAAACACTGGTAGATTCCTTGGAAGCAGCAAGATCAGTTGGATTCTTATTTGCCTCTTCGATTCCTTCTTTTTGTAGAAGGGCTTCTTTATTTTCTTCACCTTCAGAGGATAGGTTTTGGTCTTTTGACTCTTCTCTTATGTTTTCCTTTGGAAGTGATGACAATGGTGCTAAGAGATCCTGTGTGCTTGCATTTTCCTTTACAAGTTGGCTACCTTTAACAGGCACTAAGCCAACTTCAATAAGGACTTGCTCCTGTCGTGCCATTTCACTCTGAATGTTGGACTTTTCCTTTTTATTGTCTTTTCTGGGAGATGACCGTTTGGAAACCACCTCCATCTGGAAAGGTGGCTCAATGGGATGAAGAGGCTCTGTCTGAGCCAACTCCTGAACAACCTCCATCTGTTCGGGCTCCATGGGAACAGCCTCAGGCGAAATCACCTCCATCTGATCAGGCTGCATGGGAAGAGGCACTTCCATCTGAGCCGACCCCTTCTCAGTCACCTCCAGGAGGGCAGGCTGCATGGGAAGAGGCACGTCCATCTGAGCCCCCTCCACGTGGGCAGGCTGCATGGGAAGAGGTACTTCCACCTGAGCCGACCCCTTCTCAGTCACCTCCAGGAGGGCAGGCTGCATGGGAAGAGGCACTTCCATCTGAGCCGACCCGTTCTCAGTCACCTCCAGGTGGGCAGGCTCCATGGGAAGAGGCACGTCCATCTGAGCCACCTCCACGTGGGCAGGCTCCTTGGGAAGAGGCACTTCCATCTGAGCCGACTCCTCAGCCACCTCCACGTGGGCAGAATCCTTAAGAGGAGTCAGTTCCACCTGACTCTCCATTTGAGCAGGCCTCTTCAGGGCAGGCTCCATCTGAGGAACCTCTGTCTGAGCAGACCCCTTCTGTACAGCCTCCTTCAGAGTAGACTTGCTCTTTTTACTTGATTTATTTTTCAGAGATTTCTTCTTTGAGCTTTTTTTCATGGAGGTATTTTGCTTCTTATTTTCCTCCTTATTCTCCATTTTGCCATCACCCTTTGGCACTTCTTGACTATTTTTGGATTTGCTTTCTGCTTTCTTTTTCTTTTTCATCACAGGTCCCTCCCCATTCACAGGATCATGCAAGGAATGGACGTCGGCTTCCATCTTTCTTTTGCTTTTCTTGGTTTTACAGGATTTTTCCAAATTATTTCCTGGGTGCACATCCACGTCTTTAGTCTCTGTTGTGGATTTGCGAGTTCTGGTAGTGACTTGGACCACTGAGACATTATTAGAAGGCTTTTTCTCTTTTTTCTCCACCTTTACAGGTTTTTCATTTTTCTTTCCAGCCATGTCTCCCTTTGTTTTTGTCTGCTCTGATTCTGATTTTTCATTGGTAACATTATTATCAGTCAAGTCAGCCTCTCGTTTTTTGGTTTTCTTTAGTTTCACTTTTGAAACATCCATTGTTTTGTTAGGACAAGTAGGATGCTTTGATTTGAAATGATACTGTAAGTTACACTTCTTGGAAGCTGCATAGTCACATACAGGGCAATTGAACTGCCGTGGGTTAACATGTAGCTCTACATGTTTTTTGAAGTTGCTTCTATCTGCTGTTTTGTAATCACAGTGAGGGCAATTAAGAGGTTTAGGCCCATTATGAACCTGTCTTGCATGGCGGGTAACTTCATGTTGATTAGAGGCCACATAACTGCACTGATCACATTTAAATGGCTTCTCACCTGAAGGTGAACAAGAGGTGTTAGAAAACAGTATAAAAGGTAAATCTAAGATTAAAATATGCTTCAGAAATCAAAAATATAAAATAACCACAAAGACAATTTGTTGAAAAGGCTGCGTCATGCACGTTACATTTACCATATTTATTTGTATAACTATTTTTATCCCTTAACACTGAGTCTCAAATCAAGCAGAGGAATAACTGTCCCAGCCAACTATCCTCTTCAGAGAAGCTAAACTCTGATGAACTAGTAAAGAACAGTAGAAAATACAGACTTGGTGGCAAAGTTCACCTGGAAGCTGGGCGCTGGTGGCTCACGCCTATAATCCTAGCTACTCAGGAGGCTGAAATCTGAGGATAGGGGTTCAAAGTCAGCCCAGGCAGGAAAGGGCATGAGTCTCTTACCACCAGAAAACTGGAAGTGGCGCTGTGGCCCAAATGGTAGAGTGCTCACCTTGATCTGAAGAGCTCAGGGACAGGGCCCAGGCCTAGAATTCAAGCCCCATGACTAAACAAAAACAAAGTTCATCTGGACACTGAATGTTATCTGAGGCTCAGAGAAAACAGTTCTTCAATAATCCCTCATGTTTAGGTATACAAATGAGAATGTAACAAAAAAACAAAATTCCCAAGGCTGGGAAGGTTGCTCACTCAGTGGTAGAGTGCTTGCCCCGCATGCATGAGGCCCTGGGTTCAATTTCTCAGCACCACATAAGCAGAAAAAGCTGGAAGTGGCACTGTGGCTCTAGTGGCAGAGCTTTAGCCTTGAGCTCAAGAGTTGAGGGACAGCACCCAGAGTTCAAGCCCTATGACCGACAAAAAGAAAAAGAAAATTCCCATCCACTTTTAAGGTAAATCTTGAGAGAAATATCTTTCATGATGGACTATATATGCTCTCAGGCCCAAGGCACAAAAAATTTTTAAACTGTGCTTTACCCTGAGGGAACAAAATAAATAAAAGACTTTTTTTTTTTGGTACTGAATAACCCTTTTATGGACCATAACAGGTAAGTTTCATTCACTCAGCAAGGTTTTCCAACCCAGAGCTGCTGTTTAATAGAGGGAGAATAAAAAGGTACCCAAGACAATTATTCAGAAAATTTTATTCTTTTCCTCCTCTCATCTTTTCCATACAATGAACAAACTAGATAGTAAAATACAAATAGATATGGTATGTAACATAACCAAACCAAACAAAAATTACAGATACACATAAAACCAAAACCACCCCCACCCCCACACTTAGAAGGATAAGAATAACACATTCTACCTCAATACATACCCATCTAGATCACATTTTAGCAAAATATTACCAAATGGTATCCATACCCCACTGGTCCAATGGAATGCATAGTAGAGAAATGGAAATTGACATTTATGAAAATTTATCTCTCGAACATTCTCAAATTCATACCATAAAAGTTTTTCATAAAAACAACAACAGATGCTGGAGGGGATGTGGACAGAAGGGAACCTTACTTCATTGTTGGTGGGAATGTAAACTTGTTCAACCACTTTGGAAAGCAG